CAGATCCTCCAGGTTGCCGAAGTCGCCTTCTCCGACGACGCCGCTCGGAAAGGACAGTGCTGTGCCAACAACTTCTATGCAGGCATCACTCTGAATGAGAATCCAAGTGCTGTTTGCCGACAGCTCTCGTGCAGCTCGTTCTAGGCGGCACCACCCTCGCCTGCTCCAACTCCCCGCCATGATCACTTTGCCTTCCGAGTCACTTGGGAGAACAGGGCACAACGCGAGGAAAATCTCGCACCTGGCCACATATGCTGGGATGCTGTTGATGGCGCTGGACTGCTGTGGGATGTCCGCTTCATGATCATGAGCAACCTGCGTCGGATGCGGCCGCTGCGGACACGAGAAATAGTCGTACCAGAAGAACAGGGCCTGCGTCTGAAAGTCCTTCATCGCAAGGGGCTTGGCCGTTTGCACCATGGCTTCTGTAACGGGATCCAAGGAAATGGACCCAGAGCTGCTCAGGACCCGCCTTACGGCATCCTGCAGGATGCCCATCTGTCTGAAGTCGGGATCTGGGTGCTGTTGCGTAAGCCACTGGTGCGACACGAAAGCCGCTTTGCCCAAGTCGTCGCCAAAGTTCACGAGCTGGCCGCACTCCTCGAAAGGAATCCTACAATCCCAGACCTTAAAATGTAGTGTGGAATTGGGAACTTCGCCCGGGGAGCTACGGCCTGTTCGAAGGGACTGGGAAAGTGGTATTCCGTTGGTCGTTGAAAGGCTTTCTGCAAGCCTAACTCTCTCGTGAAGCCCCCAACTTCGCGGCCTTCAACTTCTCGTGTGGTTCGACCTTCGTCATCTTGAGTAGCACGTCGCTGGCAACGGTGTACATGGGGAAGAGCATTGGGGTATCCTCAGCGATGGTGGCAACTCCCCATTACATCCCTTTATCCTGCGGAAGCAAGTGCCTTGCCTTGAAAGAGAAACTTTGGTCGCTGTACTTGCATTGAATATCCCTCCCGGCCAGAACAGGCTACTGCAAGGTTTCAGCGACGCGAAAGAAATCCAGGATTTGGGAGAGCTGGGCCGGCCACAAGCGCAGCGCAGGGAGTTTCAGGGTTTAGGGTATGAGGGTTTAGGGAGGCCCTGACGCCTTTGATGCCCAGCGGCATCTGCGTCCTCGGCAAGCGATCTGGCATAGATCTCCAAGGGCGTCTGCGGCATAGCGGAACAATAGGCCAGGGCACCCTCCCCCTTCCAGGGGTAAGTGCCTTGAGCCTTTCAGGAACGCCAGACTCAACAATGGGACTGGTCAAGCACCATCCGCAAAACAGAGATGCCCTCTACTGGGCGCACTTGCATGCTGCAAAGGCGCTCTTTTGCGTGCTCTTCGGCCTCCGCAGACCTGCACAGTTTCAGGTTCAGGGTTTCAGGTTTTGGCTCCGGGATGCACAGCAGTTGGCAGATTTGCTGGGTGTAGGCCCCACCCGAATCTGTCCCAGCCCTCAGCACGCTTGTCTGCGTTTCATGCCGAAACCCCAAACCCTAAACCGTACACCATAAACCGGCTCGGGGTTGCCCTTTATGTGTGCCCACCTCCCTGCCGCCCCCTGGCGCTTCCGGGGGATGGCCCGGCTAGTATGGCTCAGGGGCTTAGGGGTGTGTTCGGGGTTTAGGGCTTAAGGGGTTTAGGGGTTAGGGCATTCACGGCTTCAGGGCTTCCAGGTTCTGAGGGTTTACGGATTTCATCTTTGGAAGTTAAGGCCTTCGGTTGTTTTCGAAGGGGGGGATTTGGAGGATGCATTCTGCAGGGCTCGGGCCTCAAACCCTAAACCCCTGAGTCGGTTCGAGGTCTACTGTTGATGATATAGATCCTTAGAATTACCTTAAGGACCCTACACTATGGGAAATTATGGTATACTCATATTCCTTATTCTGGGTAATGCAGGATTTATATCATCAACCCTACGATGCTCAAGAAGCCTGAAGTTCCACGGCTGGAGGGCGTATAGCTTTAGGCTTAAGGCCTCTACGGGTTAGGGCCTATGCTTGACGGGTTTAGGGGTTTCGCGGTCTAGAGTCTGGGGTTTAGCATTTGGGGGGGTTTTGTCATTTGGGGGTTGGGGGTTTTCCAGAGTAACCAACCAGACTCTAAATCCGAAACCCTACACTGTCCTGAACCGGGGTTTAGAGATCAGGCTTCAGGACCCTGCACACGAAACCTCAACCCTACACCCTAAACTCTAAACCCTAAACTCTGAACCCTAAACTTTTAAACTCTACACCCTAAACCCTACTCGTCAAGCATGAACCCCAACGCTGCAGCCCTAGACCGCAAAAACCCTCGTACCCGCATCCCGAGTCAGCCACCCCAGACACTCATCCCCAAACCCTAAACCGTCAAAACTAAGCCCTGAGCCCTCAACCCCGCATCTTGAATTCTAACCCGCAAGCCCTACACCCCCGAGTCAAGGTCTCCCGAAACTCGACCTCTCAAAAAGCCCTGGCCCTACACCAACAGCCTACTGCAAGGACCGTGGGCTCCTTTTTGTAATGATAATATCATCTACATTCTAAGTAAGTTTTATATCTGTAGTCCAAAATATATATATATATATATATATATACCTCCCTTATTACAACTTATAGTAGAATATGAGTAAGTTTTATATCTGTAGTCCATTATATACCTCCCTTATTATAACTTATAAACCCTAAACCCTAAACCCTAAACCCTAACATGCGTATGGAGGCCCCTGGAGTGAGCCCCTGGCCTCTGCTCGGACTCCTTTCGCAGCTGCTCGAGCTCTCTCCGACATCTTAACAACTCGTCGCTCCTGGGCTCTTCGGCGCGCTTTTTTTGTTGGGTTTAGGGTTTAGGGCTTAGGGCTTAGGGTTTAGGGGTTTAGGGGTTTAGGGTTTAGGGGTTAGGGCTTAGGGCCAAAACGGGCCTCCTTGAAGGGCTCTTTGAGGTTTCCTAAGGAGGTGATGCAAGCTCTGGGGCCTTTTACATGGCCGTAGAGCTCACTATAGGAGTCTTGATAATTGGATAGGGTTTTTGGGGTATATTATACTGTAATTTATAATAAGGAACCCCTAAAACCCTATTCTAATTATTAAGGCCCCTACATTAAGCCTTTTTGTTTAGAAGGGTGTTGGGGGCTTTGGTGGTGCCTTTCCATGGAAGCCGGGATTTTAGAGGATTATCCTTGGCTTCGCCGAGGCTTCGGGCTCGGGATTCGGGGATTCGGACTTATCCTTACCTCTAGAACCTATGGTAAACTTTCAGTAACTTAGAGCCTAAACCCTAACCTGCAACCCGAAACCCTAAACCCAAAAACCCTGCACCCCTGAAACCCTAATTGCACCCCTATGGCCCTACACAATAAACCAAACCTGCAACTCAAAACTCCTAGGAGCCGAACCTCAGAGACTTGAGACTTGGCACTAGTCCCTGTTTATGGCTTCGAGGCTCAAGGCTACAGGGTCTGGGACTTTGGGGTGAAGGGTTGGGGTTTAGAGTTTTGTGACAATGAGACTTCATTAGAAGTCTCCCCTTCTCGCTCGGCATCCAGCTCCAGCCTAAACAGGGTCTGGGGTTTAGAACGTGGGTGCTCGGGACTTCTAGAGCCAGAGCTCAACTAGACTATAAAGAAAAACCGCGATTTAACATGAAACTGCAATCGCTTAAGGTGTAGCCTGCAGGGTTAAAGCTTTAGACTTTGAGGTTTGAGCTCTACGGCTTAAGGGCAAAACTCCTTAACTCAGACAGCCTCAAGATTCGACCAGATAAGTATACGTCTAAACAATATGTGCTTACTTACTTGGTATATATATATACACACATATATAGACATATATATATATATACATAATATACACACATGTACATATCGAGGGAGAAAGACTTACAGAGACACTTATCTTTTTACTTATTCATGCATTTATTCATTCATTCTTCTTACATATATTTTTATGAATGTTTATGGTGTGTTTCGGCCCTCCCTGGATCCCAAACTACCTCAGGGTAGCCCTGAGTTGTCATAAGAGACTACCCTAAACCCTAAACCTCAAACGCTAAACCCTAAACCCCAAACCTTAAACCCTGAGCCCTGGACCCTAAACCTTAAACCCCAAACCTTAAACCCTAAACCTTAAGCCCTAAACCCTGAACCCTAAACCTTAAACCCTAAACCCTAAACCCTGCTGCAGGCAAGAAGCAGCTGGTCCTGAGCCGCAGGGTCTGCGAGCCTCGAGGAGCTCTTGCTCTTGAGCTAGTACCCGCAGATGACTATAATTGTAGTTTACTAGTGTGTAGTGCAGCATGTTGTAGTGCATCAAAGATAGTACAAACTACTATAATGTAGATGATACTCCAGCTTACTATCGTAAGTACTGTATGTTCAAGTTTGGGAGCAAAGAAGATGTGTACTTCCAGGTCTAGTCTGGCAGCCTTCACAAAGCTCTTGTGTGGCCGCTCCCACTAAGCCCGAAAATAACTGTACCGCTCTCAGGAAATTATGGTACCGAGAACTCGCAAGGTTGGGATTAATCGGAGACCGAAACTCCAGGCACGAAAACCGCAAGTGGCCTGGCCGCAGACTCTTGCCGCTGCTCTTCGAGCTCCTTGCGGCACTGCGCCAGCTCCTCCTGCCTCGGAGTCGGAACTTACATGGCTACGATCCACAGCTCTATGCCACATACACCCCAGAGTCCTTCAGAAGCTCGACTGAAGCCGAAAAGAAACAACTGTTGCCCACCCCCAAGCCGCTGGATGCTGACCGGTGGCAGCCGGTCCTGATCAGCGGCGTCTGCGAGCCTGTACAGCAGTAGTGATCAGTAGTGCATCATGAGCAGTGCATTGCCAGCTGCCTAGGGCTTCGGGCAGTTGTAGTCTAAGCTTCCATCAGAACCTGCGAGCATGTGGTAGACCAGCAACAGCAATGGGCCAGTGTTAACTTCTAGACCAACTCTTCTGCCTGTGCGACACACGATGCC